TAATCAAACCCTTAGGAACAACTTGGTCGGAACCAAAGTTCACAGGTCTGTGTTCTCTGAACTGCTATCAAGCGATGGACGTCTTCATTCTGATTGCTTGCCGCCGAACCGCGTCATAGCTCATTACCATAAAGTTGACTTCATTTCAACTCTCCTCGACGCTCACGCCGGCGAAGACGCGCCGCGCTGCTCCTCGCCGCTTATCGTCGCCTATCACCGCCGGCTTTCATTGAAAATGAATGACTTCCGGCTACTTTGACGCTCTCGCCGCTTTCGGTGTGAACGTACGGTTACAGTTTTTTTGGATTGCTTAAGCACAATTTTCAAAACAGGGCCCGTGTTTTCAAAACAGTACACACAATTAGCACAACCACACACCCAATTAGCAAAACACTACAGATCCTTTGCATAATTAAACACTCTTATAAAAACTATAGACTTATGTTTAAAAACCACACTTTTTTACCATAAGAAACACACATTTTCACATTTACTATACACTGTTTGCACGAGTTACACACTGCTGTAATAAACCTAAAACACTTTTAGCACTTCTACTTCCCTATGATTAGAGTAGGCTACCATCAGCAAAGTACAAATATAAAGTAAATTCACCAAACACTTCACTTCACCAAACATGTCACTTTACGTATTGAACTATAAGATAGATCTGGCATGAGAATTATCAATTGCAATGTTGTCCTTAGCAAGACACCTTGGAAAGAAATGTCTTGAATGTAGAATATTGTATTGCTGCTACCTCCATCTGGTCACAGGCCTCCTCCATGGCTTGGATGAGGGGTACCTCAGCTTGGAGACAAAGATCATATACTTTCCACCACTATGCTGAGAAAAACTCTTCAATAAGCATGAGGAATGGAGAGTATGCTGGAAGATATAGGACGGTAAAATGTGGATGTTGCTAAAACCAGTTCTGAACCAGAGCAGAACGGTGGAAAGACACATTGTCCCAGACAACAATGTATTGCGTATGATCGATTTCATTTGCTCCTGTTATGTTGTGCAATTGGTCCAAGAATGTAAGTATATGTGCTGTGTTGTGAGGGCCCATATGGGCATGGCAGTGGAGGACCCCATTCTTTGTAATGGCTGCACAGAGTGTTACTGTATATTTCCCCCACGTTGCCCTGGGACATTGACTATAGCCCTGTGCCCAATGATGTTTCTTCTACTCCGTGTTCACGTCAGGTTGAACACACCATCATCTACGTAAGCAAACTCATGCTAGATGTCCTCTCCATCCATTCGTAAAACTAGCTGAAGAACAGTGTCAGCCAAAATTGTGTAGTTCAGTGTAGATCTAGTATTACAGTACAGTAAAAGATAATGAGACAGTATGCAAGATCACACTGCTAAAGTGAATACATACCTCTGCATAATCATGCCACAATCTTTTCACCCTTTCGAAATTGTGCTCGAAAGGCACTCCATAAATTTGCTTCATTTAAATATATATATATATATATATATATATATATATATATATATATTTATATATATATATATATATATATATATATAAATATATATATATATATATATATATATATTGTAGCGAGGCAGAGGGAAAACAGCGGCACAACAGGATAAGTTTACAGACAAGTCCCCGGAGGGTGCTTTATTTACAAAGTGTGGGTTGTGTAAAAGGTGCTCTTCTTTAAGGTGAGGTGCTCTGGTGCTCCGGGAAGTAGGTGAAGGACAGTGAGTAGTCGGGTGAAGGATCGTCACGAGCTGGAGTTCGCTACGGAGAGACAGAGAGACAAGCATTAGCACAGGAAGTCATAGAAAGAATGAAGCTCATCTTCTCCTGGCGTAGGTTGGGCTTATATGCCTCTCTGCTTGATGCCGTCCAGCTGTGAGCGATCCTGGCTTGATGATGGTCCAGCTGGGTGAAATTAGCGACCAGGGCGACGTGGCATGTAATCGCTCGCTACAGTATATATATATATATATATATATATATATATATATATATATATATATATATATATATATATATATATATATATATATATTTTTTTTTTTTTTTTTTTTTTTTTTTATGGTGTGTGATAGTGTTGATATTGAGACCTGATGGTTTTCGTTGAAACTGCCATTTTATAGTGCTTAAACACCTGATTGATGTGTCTACAATAAATCAAACAAGTGTTTGCACACCTGACGACTGTGTTGAACCAGTTGGTTGGACGGTGCAGTATTTTGACAGTCAGTGCTTTGGTATTGCAAGGAAGTGACTTCATGATAGATTTTAGTGTGTAATGTATGCTAAGTGTGTTTAGTGTTTTGCAAATCACTGTGTGTAGAGATTTGCAACAAGTGTGAGGCTGGCAATGTGCTTATAGTTGTGCAAATATGGGCTGATGTTTTGATACTTGTGTGTAAGGTTTTGCTAATAGTGTACTACTTTTAATTTTAGAGTGTAAGCAATCCAAAAAAACTGTAAAAACAAAGGGTCTGCTAAATAATTATACAATCCTGCATTTTCTAGGCTACTGTCCTTACACTTAGATTGATTGAAGACACATAATTTTTATTATTACTTACGATATAAATAAAAAAAAATGCATATCTAATTGTTTTGTCCTCAATGGAAAAAGCTATATTCTATATTTTAGTTTAAGTTAGAATATTTTGTAGAAATAATTGTATACAATATTTTAAATGAATTGCACTTCACATTACAAATCAAATCAAATATATTTTAGTCACCTAAACCAAGATTTAGACAACTAAAATCTTATCAAATTTAGTCTACTAAAACTAAACTAAAACTAAAATGATCCAGAAAACTAAAATATGACTTAAAATTGAACTTTTGTCAAAAGACTAAGACTAAAACTAAATAAAAATTTGCTGACAAAATTACAGTTTTTTAGGTACAAGATGCTAAGGACAACATTGCAATGTTGATAATTCTTATGCCAGATCCAGCTAGGCGAAGAGACAATGTCTCACTTACAGTTCAATACATACAGTAAAGTGACATATTACAGTACTTTGAATCTTCATGCCAACATGTTGGACATGTTGAGGAATAAATGAGTTTCTTCGGTGTGCAGCATTGCTCTTGAGTAGTGTTTGGTGAATTTACTTTATATTTGTACTTTGTTGATGGTAGCCTACTCTAATCATAGGGAAGAAGAAGTGCTAAAAGTGTTTTAGGTTTATCACAGCAGTGTGTAACTCGTGCAAACAGTGTATAGTAAATGTGAAAATGTGTGTTTCTTATGGTAAAAAAGTGTGGTTTTTAAACATAAGTCTATAGTTTTTATAAGAGTGTTTAATTATGCAAAGGATCTGTAGTGTTTTGCTAATTAGGTGTGTGGTTGTGCTAATTGTGTGTACTGTTTTGAAAACATGGGCCCTGTTTTGAAAATCTTGCTTAAGCAATCCAAAAAAACTGTAACACTATTTAAAAGAGCTTTTCTTCACAGATTTAACTTTTTTTTTTTTTTTTTGGTAATGTTTGAAAATCAAGTATAAAGTTATTTCCATGAAAGGAAAAATTAGAAAAAAATGTAGCTTTTACTCAGTTTTTAATTATATATACACACAGTTAAAGTCAGAATTATTACCCGCCTTTGAATATATGTATGTTAATACACAACATATACAGTATTGACTAAGCCATAAGACCACCAATTCAGCTTTTCTGCACTAAAAATAGAATGAGGAGCCATAAAGATTTCTTAGAACTATAATGTTTTTGTAGACCAGTTTGGAGTAAACGACACAGTTATGTCACTTCAAGTTGCATGTGTGTTGTGATGGCAGATAAACAGCAGGAAAGTAATATCTTTGAAAGAAGTGAGCAAGACAACCAACAAAAAAATGTATTGTACTGTTGGATGTCAGAACCAAAATGTGTAAAATACCATCATTGAGGATGTTAGTTGAAGTGAAATGTAAGCATTTATGTTGGGAAGCCATAAACAAAGCATTTTTGAATTTACCACTAAAGTAATTTCTTTATTACTGTGGTACTCTGGCATAACTGTGTGCAAAGTGCTTTTGTATCAATAGCTATTGTAAGTGCTACGTCTTAATAATGAGCCTGGGTTGTTTCTAGTCATCTCAACTTACGTCAAACGGACCAAAAATATTAAGTTAAACTTTATATAACTTAAAAAATGTAAAACAAGTAAAAACTACTTAAAAATATTGGTTGACTTGACTGACTTTTCATTGTTAAATTATTTACAGTGTACAGAAAATGTGAAATATGAAGATTGATATATTGTGCAAACCTAATGTATCATCATGCTCTAAGATTGATGTATTAAATATGCTTTTATATTTTGTTTTATAAGCCTTCTGCATACTTGACCTGTTTTTTTCCTCTTCATTGACTTTCAAAAAATTTGTGTGGAAAGAATCGACAAATTACTGATTTAAAAAATTTCTTTCAGATAATTCATATAACAATTATTCACATTTGTTTGCTGTTACTGTCAGGAATATTTGTCTGGCTGAAGCATAGTTTGACTATTTTTCTTCAACAAATTAATCCGTGCATTTCTGGCTTTAATATTTGCATTGTGTGGCAACCATTTTATTATATGGTATTATAACAAATAGACCCACACAGCCCACATCTGCCCACAGAAATCAACAGATAAATATGAGTGATTATTCTGATTTTATTTTAATTTTAGCAATATTATTGAAAAATATGCAAATCTATTGTTTAAGTACAGATCAGATAGTAAACTATTGTTTCCATCTTTTAACCAATGTATTTTATGAGAGACATTATTTACCAAATAAGGGGATCTAATTGGATTTAAACTTTAAACTTAGATTAGCAGTTAAAAAGTGATTGTTTCTTTATTTAATGCATTAAATCTTAGCTTCTATAATTTTGCTGTATTGTGAATAATACTTGATCTGTGTACACTTTAAATATGTAAATATTTTTTAAAATCTATTTTTTTATAATTAGATACCTGATTTAAATTCTCTTCCTCTCTCTCGTCTAGTTGGGGTACTCAAGGAGATTTCACCACCACTCATCCACTTCCAGCAGTGAAGGTGAAACTCTTCACAGAGAGTACAGGAGTGCTGGCGCTGGAGGATAAAGAGCTGGGCCGGGTCAGAGACACACACACACACACACACACACACACACACACACACACACACACACACACACACACACACACACACACACACACACACACACAGACACACACAAACACACACACACACACTAGCTTGTTTATGATCACAAACGAACAAAACTAAATTCAGGTGGTTTTTTAAGTTTTTTTTTTTTTTTTACACTTTTTTTTTTACTTAATGTCCACTTTGACCACTTTCAGAGGTAGCTGAGAACAAGGCAAGTCATTGGACAGCAATGGTTTATTCTGTAGCTAATTGGAAAAACATTTAGGTGGCTACAATTTTTTACATTATAAATTCTTGTAAAAAAATAAAAACTACTTTTACCTTAGCCAAACTAAATAAAGACTTTTTCCAGTATAAAAAAAAAAAAAAATAGGAAATACTGTGAAATTTTCCTTGCGCCATTTACGTGCACAGAAATGATTACAATTTCACAGGAAGGCTGTAAAAGTAACTGTGCTAGTTTAATACAATCTGTCACCTAAGTAATGTGAAAAAAATAAATGCTTAACAAATACAAAAAAAAAAAAAAAGAATTTGCAGTGAAATACAAGTTTTTATTTATTATTTTATTAAAACAGTGTTTTTATTTAATGGGACACAATTTTAATCAAGAAAACAGATGTTGCTTGATTGGATAATTCATTTAAGGAAAAAGGAAGTTCCCTCGCAAAAATTGCATCTAAGATTTTCTTTAAATAACCTAAAAGACTAGTGGTCAAAAGTGGACAAAACAGATGGCGGTAAATGAAAGGTGTATACTTTAATACTGTGATGTATCTTGGTTTTGCTAACTCTAGTTGACCAAAGTTTAAAGAGGGCACTAAACCGTCACTGGTTCACTGACATCTCTCTTTAAGCAGATCTGAGCTCAGTTCTGCCATCAGGCGGTGATGGGCAATAAATTGGTTCAGCTAAGCTCTGGAAAACGAGCAGCCCCCCTGCGTGCCTGTAGCTCTTCTACTGGATTTGATTTAGTGTTGAGTCAATGAGGCATAGTGTCTCTCTATTTCTCTCTCTCTCTTTCCCTCTCTAAAAACAAAAGCTTGTGCTAATATAAAAACAGACAGATAAGGTGATGTTGAATCTTATTCAAATGATGGATGACTTCAAAGTGATACAAAAATAATGGGATCTGATTCAGAGCACTGGTGGAAAAGAATATTGTTGGATAGCTGGTATGCCATTCATTTATTTATTTACTGTAACTTTCTCATTTGAGTTAGATATGTGATATTCACTGAAAAAAATGTTGTAAATAAAGATATCTAATAAAGACTAAATTTGCATACCCATTAAACAATGTTGTTATTTTTATTAAAAGCATGGGCTGCAGTTTGGTCATCTAAAGCTTTAAAGCAGAATAGCTTCTGGCTGGCTGTCAATGTTTTAATCAAATTTACAACTATGAAATCATTCTTCTAACAATAGATTTTCTGTGTTATTATAACTATGATCTTTTCTTTTCAATGTATTGAAATATATAACCCAAAATTGGGTTGAAAACATCAAAGAAAACAGCACACCCAAAAAAGTGCAGAATTTATTCTGTAAACTACTTATGATAAATACATGTTGTCATTTAGATGCTTGTATATTTCCCACAGTAACAAATGTTTTTATTTGTTGTGATTGAAAATCAGGGTTAATTCACCAAATATTATTTTTCTGACACTTCTAAAATGAAAACGTGTATTGTTTTGTGTAAAACCTAAAGTAAACATGTCTGAAAAACTTTTTTTTTCCTTCATTTTACACCAAAATATCTATAAATGGTATTTTCATTTGAAATTTTGAAAATAGCTTCAAATCAAGTTTAAATTAACATTATTATTTTTATTTAAGTGAATGACTGTGGCATCTGATGTTCTTTCAGGTTGTGTTGCATCCAACACCCAACAGTCCCAAACAGTGCGAGCTCCATAAGATGACTGTAGCCAAAGGTTGTTCTGATGACCTGAAGATCAAACTAGCTGTCCGTATGGACAAACCGCAGAACATGAAGCACTGTGGGTGAGTGACAACTGCAAACCTTTCATTCCTTATTTTTGCTCGACTTTTTTGTAAAGATTTGCTGAAGGTGTAATGTGCTGACTCTACGCTGACCCACTCACCGAGTAAATATGAGAAAGCACAGACTCAGTAAATGCCTTTCTCTCGACTCCTCTGTTCTGAACTTTTGGCTCCATCTAGAGGACAGATAAACATGCGTATATTTCATTTCATTTTCTTGTCAGCTTAGTCCCTTTATTAATCCGGGGTCGCCACAGCGGAATGAACCGCCAACTTATCCAGCAAGTTTTTACGCAGCGGATGGCCTTCCAGCCGCAACCCATCTCTGGGAAACATCCACACACACATTCACACACACACTTATACACTACGGACAGTTTAGCCTACCCAATTCACCTGTACCACATGTCTTTGGACTGTGGGGGAAACCGGAGCACCCGGAGGAAACCCACGCGAACGCAGAGAGAACATGCAAACTCCACACAGAAACGCCAACTGAGCTGAGGTTTGAACCAGCGACCCAGTGACCTTCTTGCTGTGAGGCGACATGTATATATAAATATATATATATATATTTTTGTTGTTTTTGTTTTTGTGTCTACAAAAAAATACCACTATATCAATAATTATAACCCTCTGTCCTCCATCCCATCCCGAAGAAGAATAAAAAAATAAATAAAACACAAACACACACACACACACACACACACACACACACACACACACACACACACAAAACAACATTAACACCTTCAAGAATTTGACCACGTTTTTGGAATTTTGATGTTATTAAAATGTAACGAGTATATTTACATTTCATTACAAATAATATTATTATTTAGAATATGTACTTTGGCTTTGTTTTTAGTTAAATATATAAATAGTTTTTAAAAAGCTAATTGTGTTTCAATTCAATTTGTGAATTAAATTTTCTAAAAATTTAATTTTAAATTTTGGATTTTAAACATGCCACTTTTTATTCAAAGCTGATTAAATGAGAAATTGATTTTTTCATTAAAAAAGGGCTTGTGTTGTTCAATTTACATAAACATGCAAATAAATAAATAAATAACAAAAAAAAAAAAAAAAAAAAACTTGCACTTTGAATAACAACACAATAACTTTTTAATAGTTAACCAAAAACACAATTTAACATCTTTAATCTCTTGCCTAGTTTTATTGTTTTTATAAGAATAAATATCACCACTTTTTAAATTACTATATTACTACTAACAGTACTTAACGTGACATTACAATATACATCATTTCTAACAGAGGGAGGCACGGTGGTTAGCACTGTTGCCTCACAGCAAGAAGGTCGCTGGTTTGAGTCCCAGTTAGCATTTCTGTATAGATTGTGCACGTCTTCCCTGAATTCGTAGGTTTCCTCCAGGTGCTCCAGTTTCACCCACAGTCCAAGGACATGCACTATAGGTGAATTGGTATAACAAAAATGGCCATAGTGTACAAATATGAGTATGAGTGTTTCCCAGCACTGGGTTGGAACTGGAATGGGATCTGCTGCGTATAACATACTGTATGCCCTTGGCGTTCATTCCGCTGTGGCGACCCCAGATAAATTAGGGATTAAGCCGAAGAAAAATGAATGAATTAATAATTTCAAGCATTTAATCCTAGATTATTTAGTACATGTTAATTCAACTGTGCTTTACTGTATAGATGCACAATAATAATAATAGTAATAATAATAATAATAATAATAATAACAATAGTAATTTTGTCAAAAGAATAAATTCCAAAAGAAGTCACCAGTCCTTCTTTTTTTGCTTTAGTGCATTGAATGGTTTTCTCCATTAGAGGGCACTAAACATACACCTAAAATCCTTTTCTATTCTGCTGGTTTTAAAACTTCTGTCTGCAGGACAAATTCTATCATCCTCTATTACTTCACAGAGGATTTCTCTTAAATCTAGCTTATATATATATATAAATATATATATATATATATATATATATATATATATATATATATATATATATATATATATAATTTTTTTTCATTTTAAATATTTACAATATTTGCAAGCAAATTATAATACTTTGTTCATCATGAAATATGTACTGTATTATCACACGGCTTTTGAATAATTCTTTTTAGATGTATGAGTATGTTTACATATTGTGCATTACTACCCCACCGTAGACTGCTGAATGTAACTATAAAGCTATAACTATTCATTAAATCTGAAATGTAACTATAAAGTATGACAATATTATGGCAGCTCTGCAAGCATGTGCATTATCAAAGTGCTTAATGAACCAGTTGACTTCATCTAATGGAAAAATAGAATGCTTTAATGTACTGAATACATCATTTAAAAATAATGTATTAATTAGAGCCTCTTGGAATACAAACACTTGCACATGTACATTCACAGACTGGCACAAATGTGAACATGTGTACACACACATAAATAGGCTATTCTAATTCTAATTTGTGTAGAAATAGCTAAATAATAACACTAACACTAAATTATAACACTAACACTAAATTATAATACTATATACTATAATGTTAAATTTAATCACATTAACTTTTTTACTTCATTTAATATAATTTAATTTAATTTTACTTTATATACAGGAAATATGCATATTTCTTAACATGCAAACTATATCCAGCATGCTATTTTTTTGTCAGATATTCTCTTATTTTATACAATAATGCATATTGTTAACATGTACATACTTTGCAGTTTTAATCATGAAGAGTTCAGATGCAGAAACCTTTCAATGGCATTTATCTTCTTTTTTAAATAAGCATTTTTCTCAGGCTCTTGTTAATAGGTTCAGTAGTTTCACGCTTATGTTGACAGAGGATTTTCGTTGCCTATAATGTGAAATAACAACTTGACTATAGGAGATTGAGGAAAATGCTCATTTTGAAGGACATTTCAGATATCATTTACAGGTTTTTGCATCTGAACTTTTCATATATTTGTAATGTCAATTGAAATAATACATATTTTAAAACAGCATGTGCCCCATTATCACTATCATGATGAACACATACATCTAGATATTTATTTAAATAAAATGTTATTTTATTATTTATTTTATTTATTACAATTTTTTATTTACAGGAAATATGCATTTTCATTCATGTGTACGTAACATACAGCATGCAATTTCTTTAGTTTGATATTCATTATATCTATTAAAGTGTGTATATTTTGCGTATATACACTTTAAGCATGATTTAAAATGTATTTTTAATATATATTTGGAACACCAATTGACATTCTTCTACTATTTAAAAATCTTAGTTAAAGGCAACAGTGTATCATTATCCCTCAAATGACTAACAATATGTGTTTGTTAGGCTTATTTATTTATTTGTTCGTTCGTTCATATATTGATTGATTTTAATTGCGGCACAATGGCTCAGTGGTTAGCACTGTTGCCTCACAGCAAGAAGGTTGCTAGTTTAAGTCCTGGCTGGGCCAGTTGGCATTTCTGTGTTGAGTTTGTATGTTCTCCCTGTGTTTGCATGGGTTTCCTCCGCATGCTCGTCTTTCCTCCCTTCATGTCCAAAGAACATGCACTGTAGATGAATTCAATAAAGTAAACTGGTCGTAGTGTATGAATGTGCATGTGAGTGTATGGGTGTTTCCAAGTAATGGGTTGCAGCTGAAAGGACATCTGCTGTGTAAAATATATGCTTACATTTTTGGTGGTAAATAGGGGATTAAGCCAAAAGAAAGTGAATGATTTATTTTATTTTATTTTATACAGAAAATTTACATTTACATTAACATATACATTATGTACAGCACAATATTTTTGAGATATATTCATTTTACATTATACAATTAGCTTTTTTTTGTAAACAAACATAACATGCATTTTTATGCATGCTTTAAAATTTATTTTTAAATTTTGTAACATCAATTGAAAAAAATCCTTGTGAAAAGCAACAGTGGCCCATTATAACTCAAATGACTAATATATCATTTGGATTGTTTATACAATTTATTCATTTATTCATTCATTCATTCATTCATTCATTCATTCATTCATTAAGTCATACATTTTATTTTATATACAACAACTATGTATTTTCAGTAAAAATCCCGCAAGATGTTCATTTTGCATTATACAATATGCATTCTTTGTAGTCATACATTACATGCCATGCATTTTTTAAGAATGCTTTAAAATGTATTTTGAAAATAAAGTTTTTAACGACATCTGACATTGTCCTAACAATCCTAGTGACAGGCAACAGTGTCTCATAACACACTTAAATTATGAACAACACATAAGGTTTTATTTATTTATTTATTTATTTATTTATTTATTTATTTATTTATTTATTTATTCATGTATGTATTTAGTAATTTTTTCATTTGGCTCATCTGTTTGTTCGTCCATTCATTTTTTTTTATTAATTCATTATTTAATTCATTAATTAATTCTTTCATGCATTCATTCATTCATTCATTCTTTTTTTCATTTATTCATCTGTCCGTCTGTCCATCCATCCATTTATTTATTTATTTATTTATTCATTCATTCATTTAGTTATTGTATAATTTTTAATTTATTAAATTTGTTAATTTTTATTTATTAAACTTCGTTGTATTTAATTTATATGCAAATACATTATATGCATTTTCTTTAAAATGTACATAACATCCTGAATGGATTTTTTTTAGATATTTGAGATATTAATTTGATATTATAAATTTTATTTTTTTTTTGTAAACATACATTTGCATGCTTTAAAATGTATTTATTAACATGGAGTTTGTAATGACAACTGAAATTATTCCACAATATAAAAATCCTGGTGAAAGCACCAGCGTCCCATTATCACTCAAATGATGAACAACACATCCAGTATGCTGTATATCCCGACACTGTGCTGCAACAACACCTGCTCTGCGTCTCTTCACAGATACCTGTGGGCCATTGGGAAAAACCTGTGGAAAAGATGGAAGAGAAGATTCTTCGTCTTGGTTCAGGTATGTGCTTTTTTCCCTTTTTTCCCTACGATTCTTTCTGATTCTGTACATTTCCGGCGTATCAGAGCTGCTTCAGTGAAGAAGGTACTTCAGTGGAGCCTCTTTTTTTATTTGTGTCTTCATTGTTTGCTGTTGTGTGGTGGTTTGTAACATGTCTGAGAGCTAAAAGTTGACAGGCGGCTTGACAGAGTAAAGGACCGGCAGATAAAAGAGCTCACATCAGTCCAACAGCAGTCGCTCGCAGCTACAAATACAGCAAGTGACAAACAACAGTCAATACACTGACGCTCTTTATTTACCTTAGTGTTTGCGTGTGTGTGTTTGTGTGTCACACAAGCGAAAAACAGCACACCAATGCCCTGCTTGTGTTTTCCAATGTCAGGAAATATGCCAGAATGCGCTTTTCGTGTCCGTTTTGTGTTTCGTTTGGATTCTTTCACACTTGTTTTATATTGCTTGTGCTAGAAAACCCAGCTGTATTAAATCCTTTTTATAATGTAAGATCTACATCTTTTTTCTAAATAGTATCTTACAAAACACAATGGCAAGAGAAAACACATACATTCTGCATTCTACTGCTGTCATTCAAGCAGAAGTATTTTATAGATTATTTAAATACAATTACAATTGCTTTCAAACATTTTTACATGTACTATTATTATTATTATTATTATTATTATTATTATTAGTAGTAGTAGTAGTAGTATAACTACTACTATTGTTATTATTATTAACAGTATTATCATTTATATTTTTAGTATTACTACAATTATTATTATTATTATTATTGTTGTTGTTGTTGTTGTTGTTGTTGTTGTTGTTGTTATTATTGTTGTTATTATTATTATTACTTTTAATATTATCATTATTATTATTATTATTATTATTATTATTATTATTACTACTACTACAATAATTATTATTGTTATTATCAATATTATTACTACTACTGTTAATGATAGTATTATTATTATTACTGCTACTACTACTATATTATTATTAATTCATTCATTTTCTTTTTGGCTTAATCCCTTTATTTTGGCTTAATCCCTTAATCCCTTTATTTTGGCATAAAAGCCTTAACCTTCTTGCTGTGAAGCGACAGCACTACCTACTGCACCACTGTGTCACTACTATTATTATGATTATTATTATGATTATTATCACTACTGCTACTGCTACTACTACTACTACTACTACTACTACTATTACAACTACTAACTATATTATTATTACTATTATTATTATTATTATTATTATTATTATTATTATTATTATTATTATTATTTATTAATTAATTCATTTTCTTTTCAACTTAATCCCTTTATTAGTCTGAGGTCGCCACAGTGGAATGAACCTCCAACTTATCCAGCATATGTTTTATGCAGCGGATGCCATTCCAGCTGCAACCCATCATGGTTGGTGTTTCTGTGTGGAGTTTGCATGTTCTCCCCACGTTTGTGTGGGTTTCCTCCAGGTGCTCGGGTTTCCCCCTTAGTCAAAAGAAATGCGGTGCCAATGCAGGTGAATTGGGTAATATCCATACACACTCATTCACACACATACACTTCGGACAATTTAGCCTATATTAAAAAACATTTAGGGCGAGGCAGTGCCGCAGTAGGTAGTGCTGTCGCCTCACAGCAAGAAGGTCGCTGGGTCGCTGGTTCGAACCTTGGCTCAGTTGGCATTTCTGTGTGGAGTTTGCATGTTCTCCCTGCATTCGCGTAGGTTTCCTCCGAGTGCTCCGCTTTCCCCCACAGTCCAAAGACATGCGGTACAGGTGAATTGGGTTGGCTAAATTGTCCGTAGTGTATGAGTGTGTGTGTGTGAATGTGTGTGTGGATGTTTCCCAGAGATGGGTTGCGGCTGGAAGGGCATCCGCTGCGTAAAAACTTGCTAGCTAAGTCGGCGGTTCATTCCGCTGTGGCGACCCCGGATTAATAAAGGGACTAAGCCAACAAGAAAATGAATGAATCAGGGGCGTAGATTTAGGGTGGACGGTGGGGACGTGTCCCCACCAATATCCACAAACTACCGAAATGTCCCCACCAATAATTTAATTCACTTTAAAACATCGCGCTGTCAGTATAAACCTAGACATGCTGAAAGGGTTAAATCACGTTCTCTCCTCGAGTCGCACCGCCCCCAAACACATATATGAACATTGTGATTGGCTGTGCCTTTCCCTGCTGTCGTGTGAGTGGCTGCTTTCAGATCATAGTTTCAGATACAAACAGCGTCAAAACAACTGCGCGGGGGGAATTTCCCGATGTGTAAGGTGTGTGCCTCGCACAAGTGAGGATGGAGGTAGCAAGAAGAGGTGTACATAAAGAGCTTTATTCAACGAAAAGTGTAAGTCACATATACTCAAGTTCGCTACTGAATGATTCCATGATGATAATGCCGTTATGCTAGTGTTTTCACCGCTTTTACGTTCAGTCTAACGTTAACGTTAAAGCAGACTAGTCTGTAAATTCCCTGAAAACCAACAGCAGAATAAACACCTACATGTAAACGTATATGACCCTGCCAGTTCTCCTAATCTCCTGGAGTAACATCTCCAATTTTGGTTGAAACAATTTGTCAGAAAAACTACAGCCTGTGCTCCATCTTTTAATATAAGACATGTTTAATTTGTACGAAAAATGAACGAAAGTCTTTATTAAACTCTCTCTTTATCCGTTAATAAACATTATTTTAACATGACACTTTCAGGCCTGTAGCCAGCTTATTAAAAGGGGTTATTTGTTTTCTGAAAAACTGAACCTTTTTGCAGTTATTCACCTGAATTTCTGTTTAATTGAGGTATAAATAATATATTTAGGTACATATTAGGAACTAATTTTTGCTGGATAATCTTGTTGGATAGTTATTACAACTACACTTTTTGATGTACCAGAACTATTTCCTACCATTTTGTCAAATTGCTTTATTTACACATTTAGACTATAAGTTTTATTACAGTTTTATAAATAATAAAAATACTTTGAACTAGAATTTGGGACTTTAAATTCTTAGAATAAAGAAATTAAGTACAGTACAGATGCCAAAACCTCTAAATGCCATGTAAAATGAGCATTTTTCTCAGCCTTGTATATTTATGTTCAGTTATTTCACTTTAAAGGCAATGAAAAGAACGTATTTGTCACTATAAAAGTAAAATCACTGAGTCCACACACAGGAGTTGGAGAAAAATGCTCATTTTAGAAGAAAATATTAAATGGCATTTAGAGGTTTTTGCATCTAAACTCTTCAAATATGTAAATATACTTATTTTTAAAATGCAATTTTTTTTATCATAATTTTCTTTGGGAAAACTGTTAAAACTTGATTTAAATTAAAAACTGAAGCCTACAGGCAAATAACAAACTGGCCAGCGCATTCAACCTTCCTCAGACCATTTAAATAATAAGATAAATTCAAACATAATAATAATAATCCAACTTTTGGTCTTTCAATCCACCTGACCCCCATTGGCTACACGCATGACTATTTAATTTAACTTAATAAATTGTAAGTAGAGAGGATTACTTAATAATACATTTTAATAGCAGTTAAATAATAAATAGCAATATATAAAATATATTTTATATATATATATATATATATATATATATATATATATATTCATTCTTGGCGGGGGTGACTCGTCCCCAGTCCCCACCAATGTCAAGCGCAAACCTACGCCCTTGGAATGAATAAAAAAACGAATAAATAAAAATAAATGAATAATAAACAAAAATATATAATTATTATTAATTATAAAATTGTTAAAAAAACTATTACTGATATTATTTATAATTAATATGTCTGTAAGTTGATAAATTATTAATACTTTCACTTTTTTATATTTGTAAATATTATGTTATTCTCATCTTAAGTTATTTTATTCAAAATCAAAATCACCTAAAATCAGAATAAAAAAATATTTTCAGAAATATTCTTACAAAAAAGTAGCTTTTTGAGTTTGTTGTTTTGAATTGTTATTTTGATGTGATTGCTTTCACAGTTGTTATTTGCGTGTTTGTATTTTGCTTTTGCTTTTTTGTCTGTTGTCCTTGTGTTAAATCCTGTGTAAGTGTTCACACAAACGTCAGCACAACCATCTGTCTTGTAAACGTAAATGCCAACATACAGTAAACATACACAAACTCCAGATGACACGGCACGTTGCTTTTTATTTAGACAGTTTTACATAAATGAAATGTATTAGATAATGTAAACAGAGCTAAGTTTAAGTAACTAATAACTAAGTCTATGTTTTAACTACATTTTATTTTCCAGCTGCAAAGACAGATTGGCAAATTGCTATCAATCAAATATAAATAATTATGAAATGATAAATTAAATATGATAAATTAGAATGCTATTTGTCCAATTTCGGCTAGAATAAAAGCAGTTTTTAATTTTTTAAACACCATTTCAAGGTCAAAATTATTAGCCCCTTTAAGCTATTTTTTTTCGATAGTCTACAGAACAAACCATCGTTATACAATAACTTGCCTAATTACCCTAACCTGCCTAATTAACCTAATTTACCTAGTTAAACCTTTAAATGTCACTTTAAGCTGTATAGACATGTCTTGAAAAATATCTAGTCAAATATTATGTACTGTCATCATGGCCAAGATAAAATAAATCAGTTATTAGAGATCAGTAATAAAAACTATTATGTACGGTGGCCCAATAGTGCAAAACAACAACATTAAGATGAAAACGCTGCAACATGAACACAACAACATTAAGATGAAAACACAACAACATTAAGATAAAAATGCTGCAACATGAACACAACAACATTAAGATGAAAACACAACAAAATTAAGATAAAAATGCTGCAACATGAACACAACAACATTAAGATGAAAACACAACAACATTAAGATGAAAACACAACAACATTAAGATGAAAACACAACAACATTAGGATGAAAACACAACAACATTAGAATGAAAACACAACAACATTAAGATGAAAACACAACAACATTAAGATG